GCTTCACTTGTCTCTTTGACGAGTTGTAATATGGCAAAACTAACTGACGATGCCGACTACGGTGCCGGCGAAACGTCTAGGATTGTACCACGTCCACGGTCCGACTTTGGAAATGACTATGCATACAATGGACTCCGGACTAGGTGCGTTCATCTAGGTCCTCCTACCAATATGACCGAGTTGCGAAAACAAGGTCAAACAATTTCTATGCCTCATTATGTTTGCTATTTACATTCCATTGTCTACCTTTTCAAACCTATTGTCAATGCCAAATATTAATTATCGTATTTCTACATGTATTTGCACGTAAGAATCTGAAAATTTAGTAAATACGGCTGGTTAAGTAAATCACTTTTATTTAATTTACGTACACTTTTATAGCATACCTTGCATTTTGTAGACTGTTGGCTCTTCCTAAAATGCTGAATTGAAGATTAAATCATCCCTAATTTTTACAAAATAATACCCTTGCCGATTAATTTTCTATCTCTTCTATTTTCCAATCTTATTCCAGCCTTTTCTCGGCTACGACGGTCGAGCCTGAAAATCCTAAGGTTGAAGTCGATCCTCTTGGCGTCTTTATGGTGACAAATGTTTCCCCCGATTTAGTTGATTCAGGCTTCGTTCTGACACCAGATCATAAGGAAGAATGGCTTTTTGCCTCTTTGAGTCGTGCTAGCCAGGATGAGGCACTCTCTACTTTTAATATTTGTAAGCCTTTATATTTTCATGGGGCTGCAATTATGTATTGACGCACTTTTAAAATAACTATATTTATGCATTTTTTCTCCTTAAAAATTCTTCATTTAATATATAATTAGCAAACTCGCCTTTGACGGTTATACTACAAGATATAGTTTACACTTATAATTAACGAAGGATTATGTGTGCTAAAAATGTCGCTGATGTATCACTGCTTATTTTTTATTTAATATTATCAGTACATGCGAACAATAGATTTTATTGAATTGAAATTTTTCACCTTAAATTTATTAGATATTATTATAACTATTTTCGTTGCGATTTTGTGGTGGACTAAACTATTGTGAGGTAAATTTGCCATAACCAAGTCAGCCTTGATCAGAACTCATCATAGAGAAATTATTGAGAAACTATTGTTGTAAGAGGCACCGTTTGATTCAAACGGTTTTCTAGTAGATATATTATATTGAAAATTTTTCAGTTGTCTTCCAGCTTTATTGCACATCGTTGTTTAAAATAACTTTTAGGGGGCTTGGCTTGAAAAGAATTAGCTTCGAAACCTATTCAATATGAATATAAAAATTTGCCTATTGTTTAACACTCTTGAAGTTCATTTTGTTGGTCATCGTTGTATCTGGCTTAGCTCTTGGTTATTATATTTTTCATCCTATATTCTCTCAAATATTGCTACCTTTTACAACCACTTATGGCCTAAGGCAAAAGGTAGGAT